TGCTGATAGTACACTCAATTCCCTCATCAATTCCCTCATCAATTCCCTCATTTTACTGAGACATCCAGCCCACACAGCCCTTGCTCACCAGCTGGCGTTTCCAGAGAAATTGAACTGCAAACAGATACGAAAGCAAAATCTCCTGTGGTTCCCCTGGGGCTGGGTTCATCGTGTTACTGGGGATGGGGGCAACGGCACAGAGCTCTGGTATTTCCTGGGGAGCCTACATCAGGTCTCTGGGCTGTCAGCTGAGCTCCTTCATGGAGAAGACTGCCCCATCCCTCAGATCTCACTAGGCATCACCTTTTTCAGGAAGTCATTTCCAATCAGCAGTAAAGCTGTTGAGAGACTGCAGTCATAACTGTAACGAGGGCCTCCTTTTCTTTAGGTTTGTTGCAAATACGTACATTTGAGTAATAAATGTCTCTTGTCTCTTCCAGAGGTATATGTGTTTATTAGACTCACGCCTCTAATTTTGACTCTATTTCTCAAATAGGTTCATATTTTAATGGGATCTTGCTATAAAACAAAGAAGTTCCTGCTTTCACTGGCTGAAAATAAATTAGGACCTTGCATGCTGCTGGCTTTGAGGGGTAACCAGACGATGGTAGAGGTAAGCCCTAAACACATGAAGTCACATAGGTTTATGAGCAATATTTAGATTTGGTTTCACATTGCCTTTCCCAGAACTAGATCCAGTGGAACTAGAGAAGCCGAGTTCAGGTTTGTGTTGCATCAAACACTAGTAGTGAGCAGTTGTGTAGCTCTTGATTAAGTGGAATGCAATACTGTTGTTCTGCAGATACCCATGTGAATTACATGAAAGGTGGGTGCAAGAATTTTTGGAGAGATATTGTTTGCTACAGTTCAGTTGGAGAGTCTAAGACGGGAAATAAATGGCCATGATGGTATGGCAAGGGGTCAGAATTTTGAACCACAAGGCTTTTCTGTGACTGAATGCCTGATGCTTGTCTTGCCACCTGCAAAATGAGCAGTGCACAAGAAGTGCATTTACAAAACCTTATTTACTTGCATTAATGCACACTGTTTGTGTGCATTAATTGATTGGTTATTTTTGTTGCACTGTTTATGCATATTTTTCTGGGTTTCTTTAGAGAAGTTTCCTGATACATATCATCATATATTTTAAATGGGAACAGAGGGTGGAGGGAGTTAAAATCTTCCATTGAATTAGATCTAGATGTGCTAATTTAATCCAGCAAACAAAAGTGTGTGCTGCTTGAATTTGAATATAATGTTGCTTGATTTTTTTCATTAAAAATAATTAAAATTACAGAGGGAATAAAAACTTTGCATTTTAGTTGCAATGGCATGATATGTAGCTGAAAAGGAAAGGCAGGGTGAAGGGGGCAGCTTGTGTCCTAAGCCCGTGTGACCCTCTGGAATCATCCCCTGGTGTCTGACTTGCTCCTGGGAGCGAGTCAGGAGAGTTCCCAATGAAATGGAGGTGCCCTGGCCACAGCAGCAAGCTCCCAGCATCATCTTCTCTCAGAGCCTCTCTGGCCTTTCTCCCTCCTGCCTCGCACGCTGGATGCTCTTCACGTGCATTCTGCCTCTGCAGAAACCCCAGCACTTAAAGACAGAAAATCCAGCACTTGAGGAACTGCTTGGCTCTGCCGCTGATGTGTACTGCCCCAGGCCTGGCGATCTGCAGTCTAGCCACTGTACCTGGGAAATACTGGATCAGTTGTACCTGTTCTGAAGAGGTCTGTGGCATGAAGCCATCTTCCAGGGGTGGTGCAACGTAATTGCACCTCTCAAATCTGAAGGAATGAGCCCTAATGGAAGATAGGACAGATAAGCTGACTTTTAGAGAGTAGAGTTCATTGTTTATGAACAAAATACTGGTTTCTTGTGCTGGAAGGTCAGTAAGTGTTGCTATGTTCCTCTAATCTAGCCTGAACAATGCATGCTCTGAAAACTTACCCAGTAATTTAAACTAGCATGCCCAGAGTAATTAGGGTACTTGGAAGAAACTGAAATGTAAAAAAAAACATAAATTGAATTGAATGTAAAGAAATTGAATGTAAGCACTGTGGTGACCACTGTTCTTTCATTCTGCTGCTAGATTTTGTGTTTGATGCTGGAATACAACATCATCGATAATAATGACACCCAGCTCCAGATCATCTCTACCCTGGAAAGCACAGACGTGGGAAAGAGAATGTACGAACAGCTGTGTGACAGGCAGAGGGAGTTAAAAGAGCTGGTATGTTGCCCTGCATGCAGTATTGCCATAGCACATCATGGTCTGTACTCTCCAGAAATGGAGGTACAAAAGAAAGACAAGCTGGGTGTGAAATTCCTAGTTAACAACAGGATGGGGAGCAGTATTTGGAGGATTTTACTCTGAATGTATATACTGTGTGATATTTACTGATGTGTCTAATCCCATACTATGTTTATGAATGATATTGAATAACCTGCTTGGAATCTGTGTGAAAGAATAAAGGTGAAACCCTGCTGTCAGAAGATCTTAGAAGTCAGCTTGTCAAATTCCGCCACCTTTTGACATACAAGTAGCACATGGTTCTAGTGCTGGCCAGCGTTTCTTACTGCTTTGACATTCACAACGTGAGATGGTCTTTAGGTCTATTTCTCAGAGCTAGAGATTTCCTGATTTTAAAGGCAGGATTTACAGGCTGAAGATAAATCTGCTCTCATCAGCACCTATACAAACGTACCCACAATCTCCTTCTACCCTCTTTCACATTTATATTTGTCATCTTTAAACCCTGCTCCCAACCTGAAAATTATATGCTTTTTTTGAAGTCAGACAAATTATTTTATCAGCTGCAGTCTCAGCCCCTTTACTATCTTAGTCCAGCATTTTAAAGCTGTTTAAAGTGAAAGTAACCAAAGAATGGCAGGCTGAGTCGGACCAAATGCTGACCCATGGCACGAAGACCACTGGCAGCTGTGGTGAGGGGATGTCTCCTGGGTAGCAACAGGCCTGCATCAAGCACAGTCAGAAGAAAAATCTGTGAGTCTGGAAAAAGCAGGGAAGAGGGGATGGAAGGTGTGGCAGGGAGTTTTGAAATCAGGGCAGGGTTTGCTTTAGTGAAGAGCTTGCTATAGTTCAGTTGGTCTGAAATGTGGGATGGCAACTTATTTGACCAAAATCTCTTCTCTCTTACAGCAAAGAAAAGGTGGTCCCACAAGGTTAACACTGCCATCCAAGTCTACAGTAAGTTAATCATATCAATAGAAAAACCAGCTTTGTTTGTCCGTATTTAAACACTGGATTTGTGTTTGCCATGTGGCACGGTGGTTTTGGTCAGTTGAGAGGGGAGTCATTCCACATGCTCTATTTACACAAGTAAGGGCACGTTTCTGCTCTTGGGTCTGTGCAGCAGTTTCCAACACCAGTACAAACATCAGGCTGTCACACTTATACTGGTGGGCAGATTTGGAATTTATGGTAGGATCTAATGGTAGATTTCAGGACAGAATTTTGCATTAAAAAAGCAGAGTTCACTATGTCCAGTTCTAGATCTTAGACAAAAAAGTCTGAAAGAGACTCATCACTGCTGCAGTGGTGAACCCAGACAAACTTCAGCGAGACCAGGTACGGTTCTGAGCACAGTTTGGACCTAGAACCTGCAGTGAAATCTTCCTGAAGTTAAATGACCCATCTTTGATGTTTGTTCTGACACTGAAGCCTTTGTGTCTCATACAGATACACGTGCAAAGAAGATTTTTGTCCTAATGTCTGGATATATTTTTCCTAGGGTGTGTGAAGCAACACAAGAGCCCAAGCGCTTGCCAAACAAACAAACCTCTCTGTGTGGTTCTCTGTTACTGTAAACAAGTGGTGTAATTGCTGGTTCGCAGTTCAGTGACACCACTGCGAGGGATTGCAGGCAGAGGAGACAATGATCTTGCTTATCAATCTCTTGTTTGCTTCCAGGACGCAGACCTGGCCCGCTTGCTAAGCTCAGGATCTTTTGGAAATTTGGAAAACCTCAGCCTGGCCTTTACCAATGTGACAAGTGCTTGTGCTGAGCACCTCATTAAACTGCCTTCGCTCAAGCAGCTGAACCTGTGGTCAACTCAGGTAGGTGCTTTGCAGACTGAAACTGTGAGCAGGAACCAGTGCTGACTAATTCAGAAATTGCACCTTACGTCAGCGCAAGAAGAGTGTGTGAAGAGGTCTGCTCAGAACGAGTTTGTCCTTGTGCTTTTTTTAAAGGGCCTTTCTGTGGTCTAGCTTGTCTTGGAGTCTGATGTTCCTTTTACTTTTTTTTTTAATTCTTTAAACTTTATTTTCTTTTTACTTATACAAGAGTTGCTGTTATCTTGTAATGAATGTTCCGGTTAGGCATTCTTGATTCTGCATATTTCACAGTACGTGTCCTGCTGTTTGTCTGAGGAGTGCTTATGCTTCACGTTTAGGATGAAAAAATGATGTTGTGCACCTCATCTGGTCAAGCAAAACACAGAGTTTATGCAGTGTAGACAGTGAATTGCCCCAAATGCTGATCAACCAGAATTTCTTTAAAATTAATAGCAACAAAAAAGAACTAAAATAATGAATATATAGAAGGAAATTGTAATGGGGATGTGGTTATTTAGTAAGCAAAAAGAGGCCAAGTTAACTGAACAAATTATTCAGCTGTTAATTGGAAGAGCTTTTAAAATTTGGTTTTTTCTTCTACATTTCCCTGCTGCTTTTGATCTCCAAGGTTCTCCTCTGAATAGGTTTTGGTTTTCTGTTAGCACCTATTTGTAGTGCTCGCTGAAAATACAGTTATTCTCAGTGCAACCACAAAAAGCAGCATTTTTTCACTCAGATGTCATGTAAATATCTTGTTTTGTTTTCCTGACTACTTTTGTATCCCAGAAATTTCCTCTTTTTATGTGGGGAATATGAAGTAGAATCTGATTGATTGCTTGTTTTAAGACTGTCTTGTATCTCCTCCAAATTTGTTCTAATAAGGTGGCTTTTGGGTTTGAAAACTTTGATGCTTCTTGCTCAAGATTAGTTTGATTTCGCTGGACAAAGACTCTGCTTTTTCTGTCATTTTTTTTTTTTTAATTTAAAAAGAAAAAGAGCTTAGATTCCAATTTATTTTGCGATATCCTGTTTCCCATTAATCTAGAATTTAGAAGTGGCAGAAATGAAGTGGGTCAGTAGAACAATTACCAATCAATAGTACATTGTTCTGGAGACCAAAATAGCTGACTAATACCACTTGCATTATGCTTTTTTTCCTGTGATGTGGTTGGGAACAGGCTGATACTGCCATAACCATCTTGTATGGCCTGGGTGGAAGCTCTCTCATACAAAGTCCAGACTTCAAAGGCTTCATTCTAATTAAATGATGGCCTGCGCTTAAGTCCGCACAAGTAACTTAATTTTTCTGTTCTCTGTCTGCAAAACAGGGATAAAACTATTTGCTTTCTCTCCTGTCACTGGAGACTGTGGTAGGCAATCTGAGCGTGGCTTTGAGGACTCCTCCACAAACCTCGTTGTAATGCGCTCCTTGCACGTGCAGTTCATGCGTTGTTTGAAAACAACTTTGCTTGTGCCCCACAGTTCGGTGATGCAGGGTTGCGGCTTCTGTCCGAACACCTCACGATGCTGCAAGTGCTCAACCTGTGCGAGACTCCCGTCACGGATGCCGGGCTGCTGGCACTTAGCTGTAAGTGACCAATATAAGCTACAGAGGAAAATTACGGGGGTTCAGACAGAAGATTCATTTCTCAGCTGCCACAGTGCTGCTTCCACAGGGATTTAGGACCAGCCGTGGTTGTGTTTGGGTTTAATCTTCCCTCCTCCCTGCCCACTCAAGTGGCCACTCAGCTGCAGGCAGGAGAAGCGGGACGGTGTTCGGAGCCTGACGGCGCTGGTGGCCTCGTGTGGGCTTTGTGGTCCCAGGCTGTACCCTAGCTCTGGCCTCTGGCGTTACTGGTGGCACTTGTCTCCACCTCACGTGGTGACCTGCTGCCCTGGTACTTCCCAGCTTGTTTCACACGCCCTCCCAGGGGTGTCCCCCCGCGGTGGGAGTCTGTCCTTAGGCAGGAGGGAAAGATCGCAACTCACAACTTACTGGTGAGTTGAGCAGCTGTGTGCAGCAGGTGGTGTACTGTCTCTGGCACTTCTTGTTCCTCCTTTTTTGGGGGAACTTGTCCTATTTAAATTAAGAACAGTAAAAGGCAGAGTGGAGCCGTCTAAGTAGCATTCGGGATTCCCCTGTGCACTGAGAGCTGCTCAGCGTGCCAGAATGAGACCCTTTCCTACATCTAGCAGTGTATTCTAAACCTCGCTTACCAGTTTTAAAGGGTTCCTTTAATAGGTTTGATCCTACGCAGACGTGCCAGACAGGCCAGTAGTTATGGCTCATCTTAGGTAGCTATTCTGCTAAATACTGGAGCCCAAAATGGAAATGGTTGGGGGAGGAGAGAGGGAGGACTGCTAGATCAGCACAGCCCCTGCATGCACCATGCAGAGCACTGAGAACGGGCACTATTCAGAATAATGTGCAGGAAACTGGTTAGGAGAAGTTGCCTGAACTCCTTTGAAGTCAGCAGACTTAATGGCCCTTCCTAAATAGGGACTTTTTCCTGGATGAGGGCCCGAACAGATGTTTACCCATTTGTACTTCTATATTTTACACTATTCAGCTTTTTCCTGAGAGTACTGCACAGAGTCATGTCTTGTTTATGCTTTGGCCTACTGTATTTTAGGAAAATGCAGCGTGATCATAAATATCTGTGTGTTTTCTCTTTTAGCCATGAAGAGCCTGTGTAGTTTAAATATGAACAGCACCAAACTTTCAGCAGACACCTATGAAGATCTTAAGGTATTTCTGAATTTCATCCACTAAAGATAAGAAGTAGCTGGGCCAGGAGGATTTGCAGGTTTAGCAAGCATGTGGTGGGGTAGTGCCTTGTGCAGAGAGAACTGGCCCTGTGGAGTGGGCAGCATAGAAGTCATCTCAGGAGGGTGAAGTGGATTATTTTGGGGAGATAATGACTGAAAACAGCATTCTGAGGTTGCTGGCTTTGATGGACTCAGGAAACATCTAACACACTGCATGGATGAGTATGAGATAGACTCAGAACCTGAATCTTTTTGCCAGAGTTATCAACAGGAAAGGTTTCATAAATAGGAGCGTGTTGGTTGTTTCTGATGAGGGTACACAGACAGGTAAAATCTAGTGTGCATCTCCAAAGCCATGTCCTGTACTGCTACAGGACCAGAAGTAATGCAGGGGAACAGCATTTACGGAGCTCTGATTCTGAATGCCCCCTCTGCTCTGCCCTCCTCACACCACATCTGGGATATTGTGTTCAGTTCTGGGCCCTCAGGTCAAGAAGGACAGGAACTCCTTGAAAGAGTCCAGCAGGGCCACAAAGATGATGGAGGGAGTGGAGCATCTCCCTTATGAGGAGCGGCTGAGGGAGCTGGGTCTCTTGAGCTTGGAGCAGAGGAGACTGAGGGGAGACCTCATTCATGTTTATAAATTTGTAAAGGGCGAGTGTCAGGAGGAAGGAACCAGGCTGTGCTCTGGGATGTCCAATGCCAGGACAAGGGGCAATGGTCCCAAGCTGGAGCAGAGGAGGTTCAAGCTGAAGATGAGGACAAACTTTGTCAGTGTGAGGGTCAAGAACATGGCCCAGGCTGCCCAGAGAGGTTGTGGAGTCTCCTTCTCTGCAGACATTCAAAAGCCGCCTGGCCGTGTTCCTGTGTGACTGCTCTGGTGATCCTGCCCTGGCAGGGGTTGGACTGGGGGAGCTTTTGAGGTCCCTTCCAACTCCTGACATGCTGTGATTCTGTCTGTGAATTAAAAGCATTGAGGAAGGTGCAAGTTTATCTCGACACTTCTTGAACTGTAACTGAGCTTTAAACAAAAACCCCTGTGCAGATGCCCAGTTCCTGACTTTGAGATACAAGGTGTCTGGTGTTACCATTTGTGAATTTACAACCGCTTCGGCAAAGTGGTGTGAAGAACCAGATTGTAGCTGTGGGAGGGGAACGGCCCCAGGTGGTTTCAGACAAAGACTGCCTGAGATGCATTGGCTTTTATGACCTCACATGGGCTTTGTCTTCACTCCAGTGTTGCGTGAGTCACATCTCCCAAAGTCTTACGTTATAAACCCAAGCACTCAAGATGAAACTCCTCATCATGTTGTCTTGTGTGTTGAAACCTTAGATTGTGCCAGGTTTACTCAAAAAGGTCACAACCCTGGGTTGAGTTTCGAACTTGAGGCCAGTCCTGAAACTGCTCTGCTTTCAAAATTCACTGCAAACGTGTATTTTCGGTTCTGGCTGTGGAGCCAGGGCTCCCCCAGGGACTCAGCTGCAATGCTGCTAGCATGCAAGTTTCAAACCTCGTGTCACAATTGTATATCCAAAGAAGTCATTGGAATTAACAGCTGGTTGGCAGATGGGTTCACACAATGGAGCTTGTATCAGGCCCCAGGCATTACAGACAATCAAGTTCAATGCTGTATTTGGCCCAGGGCTCTGAAATCGAGTCTACTGAAAGGCTTCTCCAGTCCTACCCCTGCTTCTGAGCCCCTTTGCCATTAACTTCAGACTGAAACTCGTGTTTTCGTAACCAGTTCCCTCTGCTCTGGTATTGCATTAACAGTCCTTAGCAGCAACTCCAGAAAGTGACTTGCCAGGGCAAACAGCAAAACGGACTGTGAGCAAAGTCCTGATGATTGCAGAGAATTAAAAAAGCTGAGAAAACAGGCGTGCGTCACTTTTTCCCCTCTCACCTCTTTCATTGAGATTTATCTTAGTGGCTGTGTTTTTAGAGCTCTGTGTGTGTTCAGAGGGAGGGTAACAGTTTCTTTCCCTGGGGCGCATGGTTGTAGGTCTGGTGAGAACAGCTCAAGCTTCAAAGAACGTCTTTTTGATACAGATCTTTCCTTCTTCTCCTCTTGGTCTGCGGGAGCATTTGGGGCACAAGCCAGTGATGACATTTCCTCTCCGCTCCATCCCCCGCCCCACTAAACACGCTTGCACACACACAGACACCCACATATGTACCAGGCGGGCTGAACCAGACAATAAATAAACACCCACTACTGAAGTCATCATTGCCTAACTGAAAAATTATTTGCTGGCAGTGTCTGTAGGATTATGAGTAGCTCTTATCATAGTATGCATGCACATAAATCAAGGAGTGAGGTAATAATGACTCCTAGAAACTTCCAACTCCTCAATTATGCCCTGGCCTAATTAAATGTTTTCATTTGTTTTGAGAGAATTAACCGTACCATTGTGGTCAGAGAGCACGGAGACGGGACCGACAGGTAGGAACAGTGCAGACAGGCCATTCCCGTCTGCTTCGCGCAGGGCAGTGCAGGAACGATGTGTCCAAATGCAGTGGAGTTAGGGAAAGGAAACCACAAAGTTGCTAACGCTGTTCAAAGTCTTTTAATGCATGGAGGGAAAAATCAAGCACTGACTCAGTGGGGAGGCTGAAGAAGGAACATGCAGTTGGCTGCAGCAGATTGAGTCCTTTCAGGGCTGGAACTGGACAAACGCAAATGCTTCACAAAATTTATCAGAACCAGAGATTGGGGTCTGATCTGGACCTGATCGCTGGTGCGTGGGTTTTACCAGAGCCGCTCGGTTTTGCCAGAGGTCTGACTGCGTTTGTGCGTCTGTAAAGGCTCGGCACCTTGTTCCTTCCTTAACACCCGCGCGCCTCAGCTCACTGCCGGGCTCAGCACGGGGCTCTGCAGCGCCGAGGTCGGAGCGCGTTCTCCTGCAGTCTGTGGCCGATAGATCAGTCCTCCCAGTTCACTGATGGAACAGATTTCACGGGAACCTTTTTGCTGAGTCCTGAATCTGTGTCACTAATTCTGACCTTCTCCTGCCCTCCCACACAGGCTAAACTACCCAATCTGAAAGAAGTGGATGTCCGCTACACCGAAGCATGGTGAACTCCCTGCCTCCGACTCCTCTCTTTTGCTTCTTAGGGGAAGGAAAAGATTTTTAAAACAAACAGAGAAAAACAAACCGGAAAAAAACCCTTTTGGCTAATACCTGTAGAGCAGTGAGTCCTGGGACTTGGTGGTAGGAGATGTGGTCGTGGGGTAGAGGAGTGGCGTTGTGTGTGCCGGGGGGGTGGGAGGGGGGACACGGGGCAAACCTGGACCCAGATGGATTCTTTCAGCTTTGTGGTTTCAGAATCAACGTAACTTAAATGAGAAAGGAAAAGAAAAAAAGACTTTGTAGCAGCAAGAGGATTAGAAAGAGGAAAAAACCACCTTTGTGGATTTTTATTTGCCTTTGTGTTTTATGCCGTGTGGAGAAAAAAAAAAAATTCGTTTGTCATTATTTCCCTGGGTTTCCTTGGCTGGCAACCTTCCAGTCAGAGCTCCTTCTGCACCAGTTCTGCTCCAGAAAATCAAACCTACGGAAGAAAACCAAAACCAATGTGATTTTCACCTCCCCCCGTGTCCTTGCAGTCGTTATGCAAAGTAATTTTGTTGTACATAAGATATACATAATGCATCTATTTAAGAAAATGGTTCACAAATAACAGGTCTGGGACCTGTCTTTTATTTATGAATTGTTAATTCTTTTACCATTTTTTTGCATATAGTACTGTATAAACTGGTTTGCTGTCTTGTTGGTATTTTTTTAAAAGGAAATGTCCTTGAAGAATTGCCTTTTAGTAATGCATAGTGTATTATACTCCCTCTCCGTCACAACATTCATCATGTTGTCTTTGATTTCAAAATGCCTCAAATGTTATCAAATAGGAAGGAAAATATCTATCACGGGGGTGTGGTTGTTGGGGAGGGATTAATAAAAGTCACTTTTCCTTCTGAAGTCTGAAAACTTTCTTTAGTCTTTTAAACCACGTCAGGTTTAAACACGGGCGATGCAGAAAAGACGTCGTTTCTGTTGCCGGGGGGGTATCCATGAAGCTGTAGATTTTACAAGATGCCTCAATTGTTTTCAGTTTACGTCCGATATTTCAAGAAGAGGAAAACAAAGCTCTCCCTCCGTTCTGTGCATCTGCTTTGTCTGTTCATCCTCCCCTCCCTCCCCACCCGTTCCGTGCACACCGTGTTCTGCATGGGCCGCTGGGGAGACCGAGGAATGGCGCCGTGGCTGACCCGGTAGCTCTGACCTGTCTGTAAATGTGACTGCTACACTTTTCAAATTCCACAATTGCTTAGAAGATGATTTTTTAAAAGTTGTGGTTTCTTTTATAACTACGCTGTTGACTTTTTTTTTCATAATGAGCCTTCATTGTACAGAGCTGCTTATTTAAACGAAAACAAACAAAAACAACCAAAAAGTTTTTCCTCTAACACCTTTATTTTATTCTTCAGCACCTCAAGGTTTCACATACAGCCAATGTAATTTTTTATATATAA